TGGATATATCATCTCCCTTGTCAAACATATAGTTTCCCTCAATAAAATCTATATAGAAGCTTTTTCTTTTGTTCTCATTTTCTTTTTTTTCTTTTTCTTTTTTTTTTTTTAGCTGAGGACTGAACCAGGGCCTTGCACTTGCTAGGGCAAGAATTCTGTCACTGAACTAAATTCCCAACTCAACTTGACCATTTTGAAGTTTGTGTTTCAGCTGAGCCACGTGTTTCATCTCAAAGTCACCATGAGCTGTAAGAAGCGCAGATCACAGAAGATTCCATTCAATGCCAGGAAAAACACAAAAATCAATGACTATTTCTCTCCGGTATGTCTACAAATATTGCTTGTGGGATATACTAGTAGCTGTCTTAACTACCATGGGCCACATAGGATTGACTGCCAAGAAAATGCCTCATTGTTGATTGGGACAGTGACATACTCTAGTGACATTTCTCACCTACTACATTTATTTTGGTGAATGGCAGCGAAGATGAGGAATTGTAATCAGCTTTTAGCTATATCAAAGCAGTGTTTAATAAAAAGTATTGCAATTATATCTGAAACATTAATAAAATAGATTAAATGTAGTATGTCATGTCAACATGTGGAACAAACAAAATGGATCTCTTTAAGTGATCAAATATTATATATCATAGCAACCTGTGAAACAAAATTAATAATATTTAATAGCACTAAATTCAATCATAACAGTCTATATTTGCTTGGTACTTTACAGTTTACAAAGGATTTTGTATATTTATTCTTACCACAAACTTCATAGGCAATTGAGGAAGGTTGGTCCCAATTGGTTTATGGAGACAAAAGAGAGAATAGAGTCTCTTGAGCATGTGATGACAACTTGGGCAAGTTTGCTGAGATATTTGGAGCCTTCTCCTCTCTGCCTCTAACGTGACAAACAGTTGTGTCATCTGAGACTAAACTGTTCCTTTATTATATCAAGATAGTTGAGAAGCATCAGGCATTTGATGTACAAAGTCAAAGCCTTTTTCTTGTTTCTTTGTGTGCCAGTTCTAGAAAGCCAGGTATCTAAATAGCTAGAAAACCTGTGACAAGCAGAGATCTGTTTATTTCTGTCTTCCTCCATAACATCAAGCTCAAGGAACACATATGATCCCTTTCCCTTTCAAACTCGCCAGGCCAGGCATGATGCTGTAATCCCAGCATTCCAAAGGTAGAGAATATAAGATTGTGAATTTGATACCAGAGTGAACTATATGATGCCTCAAAAAGGAAAAGAAAAAATTTGACAAAAGTCCATATCTATCCAGTAATATTTAAATATATCAAGGTCTATTACAGTACTCCCATTATGAAAAAGAAGTTTTGACAAAATCTAGACTGCAGGCATTTATTTTGAGATATATTTTGAGATATGCAGATATATAGATTGCCTGGATAGAGTAGATTTATATTGCCTTACATTCTTTTCGTCTGTTTAACTGAGAATGTTAGTGTCACTACAATTGATGAGCTTGGTTAATTATCCAAGCTCCAACATTGCTACTCCTATTACCAGTGAGTGACTTTGATGGCATATGAACCCATTGCCTAGTGGCATCTTTCTCATACTGAATATGACTTAGGAAATGACCCTTTCAGACATAGTTATCAGCCACTGTCTTAATTTCTTTTTCTACTGATGTGACAAAATACCCTGACAAAAGCAACTTAAAATAGGAAAGATTTATATGGCTCACAGTTTCTTACAGTTCACCATGGCAGGGAAGTCCCAGCAGTAGGACCATGGGAGAGTTAGTTATGTTGCATTCACAGCCAATGGTAGAGATCAGTGAATGCATGCTCCCTTCCCCCAGCGTCTCAAACAGTCTGGGATTTAACCCAGGGAAATGTTGCCAGGTTTAGACTGGTTCTCACTGGGATTGATGTAATCAAGATAACACCACACAGATGTGTTCAGAGACCCATCTCATTGGTGATTTGAGGTTCTGTCAAGCACACAGTTAACAATAACTGTCACAAACACTTTTTAGTTTTTATTGAGACTTTCCTATTTACTGAATTTGATTTATGTCCTCTCATTTTCCCCTCTCCTTGTTCTTAACTAAAGTCCCATAAGAATGGGAGATGATGAAAATTTACAAGAAATATATGATCCAATACAAAAGACAAAGGGAATAGTTTCCATTCATTTCTTGATAGATGCTGCCTGAATCACGGTATTAAGAAAATATGAAAATTATGAGTTTGAAGCAAACCTGGGCTACATACTGAATTCCAGGGAAGTCTTAACTTTATAGCAAGACTCTATCTCAATAAAGCACTAATTATTGAGCATCTGTTGCTGTTGCAGAGGAACTGGATTTGATTCCCAACACCCACATGGTGGTTCATAAATACTGGTAACTCCAGTTCAAGGGAATCTGATGCCTTCTTCTGACCTCTATGAGTGCCAGGCTTGTACATGGAGCACATGCATACATGTAGGCAAAATATTCATATATGTAAAATAAATACATTTAAAAAAACAAATTAATGATAAATAAATAGCTTAATAAACTGTTATTTCAATACACCTTATGTTTGGATAAGATAAAATGTATATTGCTGAAAATAATAAGAATGACTTGAAGTACCATACAGGGAAGCTTGTAGACCTTTGAGTATCTGAATTACACTTGTGTCTGTTCTACTATTTGTTAAAAAGATGCACCATGTGTAACAAGAGGAGCTTTTCTGACTGATGTGATAGGAAGTTGAGGTAGTATTTTGGATCCCAAGATGTACTCTAGTTTAATTCTACTTATTGATCTTTTGAGGTTGGTACTGAATTTCCCACAGGAATTGTGTGAGTTGGTACTAAAAAAGGAAATATGACCAGAGTTGTCAGTTACAAAGAATCCACCATTTATTTTTAGGTGTCCAATGAAGATCAGGAAAATTCCAGTATTTCTCAAGTAAAAGTGGACTCTAGAAAAATGCCAAGAGATATAACCAACATCCAGGACCAAAGACCACTTTCATCCAAGAAAGTTCGACAAGATCAGACTCCTCCCTCAAATAAGAAAATTTTAATCACCTTGGATGTGAACCACAGGAAGAACAAAAACATGAAACATGAGCTCTTACATAGTGAGACAAGTAGCTTATATGAAGCCCTCAAAACTCTCAGTGCTGTGAAAAAAGAGATAGATCATCATCAGGGCAAAGAAATGCTGGTCTGGGGCAAAGAAGGAATAGAAGGGTTCATAAACCCTGCCATGCCCCTCTGCTGTTTTCCAGAAGGCAGCCACGTGCTCATTAGGTTCTCTCAAAGTAAAAGTGAGCCGGAAGTAAATAAACAATTGTTTGAACCACAGGACCAAGCATCTACCAGTTATGTCCGATTTTACATTCATGCAATTGGGACTAAGAGGAAAAAGATTGTGAAGTGTGGAGAACTTCACAAAAAGGGGAACAAACTCTGTGTCTTTGGCTTCAAAGGAGAGACCATCAAGGACACTCTGAGGAAGGATGGCAGGTTTCTTTTTGCAGAGAGTGACCATTGGAGGCTCATTGGTGAACTGGACACCATCATAGAAAACACCCAGCCAGTGGATGAGTTAGATGGCAAGCTCTTTCAGGTTGAGGCTGAGCAAACAAAGAATCCGAAGGTAGTATCTGTCACTCAGAATTCTGAGTTTGAGAACAGAAACTCTTATGAGGTAGATGAACGCATTGTGAATGAGTACCCCACATTGAAAGAACAACGAGCAAAACTCAGAGCATACATCAAGGAAGAAAGTGAAAAAAGAAAGAAGAATGCTCCGAAGGTAGTATCTGTCACTCAGAATTCTGAGTTTGAGAACAGAAACTTTTATGAGGTAGATGAACGCATTGTGAATGAGTACCCCACATTGGAAGAACAACGAGCAAAACTCAGAGCATACATCTAGGAAGAAAGTGAAAAAAGAAAGAAGAGTGTTTCCTTATTCAAAATACACCAAGAAAACTTTGGGAAACTGACAAAAAATTCTACTCCTGTTAAAGTAAACAAACATCTTTCAAGGGTCAGCGACTCAGTTGGGTACCTGCGGTGGGACAATAATGGAAATGAGGGCTGTGCCACCTGCTTTGTTTTTAAAGGATTGTACATTTTCACCTGTCGGCATGTGATAAATGACATCGTGGGGGAAGGCACAGCGTCAAGTAAGTGGGCAAGCATAATTAGTCAATGTGTACAGGTGATCTTTGATTTTGAAGAGTTCCCACCAAGAAAAGACAATGCTTTTAGTGTTAAACCTTGGTTTGAGATATCCAGTAAAGACTTTGACTATGCTGTCCTTGAACTGGAGGAAAATGGACAGGAAGTACCTACTGGACTGTATAATGGAATAGGCCCTGCACCACTTACTGGGTTGATTTATATCATTGGCCATCCAGATGGAGAAAAGAAGTCTATTGATGGTTGTACAGTGGTCCCTCAAGATAACCGAGGAAGAAATTGTGAGGAGAATGTTCAGGCAAGAGAGGCAGCAGGCTACCAGTTTTCTATGCCATATATCCACATGTACACCCAAAGAAGCTTCCAGGAAATGCTTCAAAACCCTCATGTGGTTACCTACAACACTACTTTTTTTGGAGGGTCATCTGGATCCCCAGTGTTTGATTCTTATGGTTCATTGGTGGCCATGCACTCTGCTGGCTACACTTGTGAGTATCAAAGTGGAGTTTCCAATATTATTGAGTTTGGTTCTACTATGGAATCCATTATTGCTGATATTAAGCAAAATAGAGATTGGTATAATAAAATCTTTGGAAATTGTCAGGATGAGGAAATGCGAAGCCTATAGTCCTAAGAGAATGTAATCTATTTTCCAACTTTAAGGGAATTGCCTACGGTGTTGTTATTCTGCAGACAATAATGTTTTATGAACTTTCAAAATGATTGATTTCACCAAAAAATGAGTGTTCAGATTACTTCCTGTGTACTAGTATCTTTCTTCAAAGGTCATGAACAACAATACAAAAACATCGGAGTTAAACTATTTAAGTAAAATAACATAAAGAAGATTAAGTACAAACCAGGTCTCAAGGGACTTAGTGTCAGGAGATGCAAAGATGTGAAAAAGTTCAGATCATAGAAACTGGAGTTGTGGGCCAAAGAGAGTGAGGGAAAAGAAACCTATGGTTCTCCTGGCAACTTGAACAGATGTTAAAGGCACTGTTTCATTGGCTTCTACCTGTATCTTCCTTCTCTGCTGACCAGAACTCAGCCAGGTCACTGGGGCACAGGTTTTTCAGCACCCAGAGTTCCCTGAAATCACTTGCCCTTCTTTCACACTGCCTTTCTGGCTTAAGACTTGAATCTGGAATGAACCTGCAAGGAATGGTGTGGAAGTCATTGAGCAGGGAAGGTACAATGTGCCATACAATATGGGCACCTGGGTAATCCTGGAAATGAGTTATGGAGAGCAAACACTCGAAGAGACTGTTTCTACTTCATGGTATTTACCATGGATTGGGCCAGGAGGACACTACATAGACTAGAACGTTTCTCAGCAGTTGACACTCAAGCCTTATTCTCTTAAAGAGAAAAGAAGTCATGGTCAGGAAACAATCTCACAACTGTTAAAATCAAGGAGAACTTATGCACTGAAGACAGCCAGAGGTCTTAGATCATCTGAGGGAAGGGGGAGGAGTGGGTGAGATGGTTTGGGAAGATTGCTAAGAGACTGGATTCCAGTATTGCATCGGTCTTTTCACAAGTCCCCTTATTTTCAACATATCCCCTAGTGCTATTGTGTGATGTTGTGTTTCCCCTGCTCTGTGTATCTTTCCAAAAGGCAACAAAGGGGGAACCAAAATTTAAAAAGTGTGGTATCTACAGTGAGTTATGAAATTTTAGATGCAATAGGAGTAAAGGTTATTTGTATGGTATTCCCATTGGTTTGTTCCAAATGCACATTCTCAATGTTATAAACTAATAAAGGTGGTTTCCATAGCTGTCTGTCTTTAGCTATGCACTTCTTAACTCTTACCAGCCACAAGTACCTCATTATTTTCAGGTTCTCTTGGGGGTAGGGTCACTGCAGGTATCACCACTGACAGGGAAAATCAATCTCCAAGATGTTAGAATGAAAACTGGGTGCAGCTGGAATTCATCAGTCATATGGGATTGAAACTTCCAGAGAATCTGACCCAATGATTTTATTTCCTTACACATTTAAACACAGTAGAGTTTTGGGGATAAACTTCCATGTGACAGTTCTCATAACAAAGCTTCAGAGATGGTTATATAAAAATTCCCTTATAAAGCACCCTGTTTATGTTTTTTTTATTATTTTTGAGACAGGGTTTCTCTGTGTAGCTTTGGAGCCTATCCAGGCACTCTGGAGACCAGGCTGGCCTCGAACTCACAGAGATCCACCTGCCTCTGCCTCCCGAGAGCTAGGATTAAAGGCGTGCGCCACCAACGCCCGGCTATATTTTGTAGTATCTGAGACCTTTATCCTAAGAATGGGTTCCATTGACTGGGAAACAGTGCTCAGGGCTAAGACCTGGAAAGGAAGAATATTTTATAAGCTCTAGGATAGATTCTACTGATGGAGGATGCAAAGTACGTGGTGTCTCTTTCAGGAGGATGCGTTCTATTCACTGAGAGACAAAGCCCACGATTAGGTCCTAAACAAGTCTCAGCTGGGGGCTTCTAATGGCATAGTAAAGGATTACCAGGTTGTCTGACCACTTTCACTCCAGCATTCCAGGTGACCAGGCATCAATGATTTTGTTGAAGAAAATAGGCCTGGAGTGATTGACAATCTTGGTTTCTTCAATGCTTACTCTAAGCCATGCTTAGAGTAATCCAAATAAGGATTCCATATTTGCTCCCTAAAATTAATTGGGAAACATCTCAGATCAAGTCCTTATTTGCACATAGGATTGAGTGAATTGCCTGCTACACTCATTCCCATCTGAGATGAAACAAGGCCACACTCTAACTTCTCAGCTTTCCATCTATGACATTTCTTTTAGATTTATTTATTTTATGTGTATGGGTGTTTTATCTTCATGTATACCTGCACACTAGGTACACACCTGGTGCCTGAGGAAGCCAGAAGAGTTCATCAGATCCTCTGAAATTTAAGTTATAATTGAAGGACTGTGAGCTGCCATGGGGGTGGGGTGGGGGGGGCAGGAGGTTGCTGGGAATTAAAACCCAGGTCCTCTGGAAGAAATATTCAACTCTGGAACCAACTTCCCAGCCCATCAACTTGTAATTTATAAACCACTGTTCTTTCCATTACACACTCAGCACTGTACATTCCAGAACCTGAGAGGATTCCCTGGGATCTGGATGCAAAGTCTGCTAACCAAGAAAGAAATACAGATAGGGAAGGAAGGGGATCAAAAGTCTCTGTTAGTACATCTGACTACTGGAGGGAGGGTGAAGCTAGTGACCCACATGCTTCTTTGATGGGGGAGGTCCTTCTGTGTATGTTTATCTTCTCTATTGGCTGTTGAATAAAGCACTGTTTGGCCAATGAGGCAGCAAGTTAGGTGGGACTAGGAGTCAAGGAGGATTCTGGGAAATGTAGTAAAAGAAAGTCTTGTGATCCAGGAAGGAAGTGACATAGCAGGCAAACTCATTTAAGCAAGGGCAAGAAGGAAGTCCTTTCCCTTTTCTCTTCTTCCTGCTCTCTGCTCTGGAGTTACCATGTGATCCGCCCGCAAGAGAGGGCATCAGCAAAAAGGCGTCCTCGATAAGATAAGTCTTATAATACATGTCATTGACCAAGAAGCATTTGTACCTAATATAAGTCTCTGTGTGTTACTAGGGGCCCTAACACAGCGGGTGGAACTTGGACGGTCTGGCAGAAAGCGCCCCTGTGATATCAGGCCTGGGGCAGCTTGGCGGATAGAGTTATTGTAACACTTCTTCACTGTTACTCAAGTTTTTCTCTGCTGAGGAACGATTTATGATAATTAAGACTAAGTTAGCAAGTAAGAAATCCTAGTCATTGGCCAGGAAGCATTTGTACCTAATATAAGTCTCTCTGTGTTACTAGGGGCCCTAACATGGCGGGTGGAACTTGGATGGTCTGGCGGAAAGCGCCCGTGTGGTAGCAGGCCTTGGGCAGCTTGGCGGTAGACTTATTGTAACACTTCTTCACTGTTACTCAAGTTTTTCTCTGCTGAGGAATAGGGAGGGATGGACTGTGACTGGGAGAACAAGCCCCATTGCTCCACAGTAAAGGGACACAGTTATGGCTATTGAGTACATGAATTACTAGTGCATAAATAAATCGTGTCAGCAGTAAAAAGCAAGCAAGCAAGCAAGCAAACAGACAAAAAAACAAACTTATGTTCTACATAGGTTTAGGTGAACCCAAACACCAGGAATCTATTCCGTTAAAACCAAGCCAGTTATCCAAAACTGAAGATTAAAACATGTTGGTAATCTCTTTTTATAACTCGGAACCCATTTTTCCTCCACCTCATCTTCGGCTGCTTTTGGGTGGGTGGGGGGAGGAGAAGTGAGAAATAGTTCTGAGAGCTTTCTATCTCAAAGGGGGCTCTGGAGGCCACATGATTGTATGCCTGTGTTGGCAGGAATTCAGAGAGAGGCTCAACATCATTGTTTTGATTCATCCAAGGAAGCCACAATATCCTTCCCTTTCCAAAGAGGAGAAAGTATTGATGTGGTCAAAGGCAGCTCAGTCTGACAGAAGCAATGGGGGTAGCATGAGATGTGGATGACATCTGGGCAGCAGGGTCTTCTGTAGCATTGATAGTTACCTGGAGAGAAACGGACAATCAAGTTTCCTCTTTCTGTCTCTCCTTTGTTGTTCCTCCCACCTCTAGCTACCCCTGACTAGCATCTCTGGTTTCCCTGGGTTGTTGAGCAGGAATGTACGGGATACTCACCTCTGATTTTCATCGTGATTCTGATAGTGGGAGGGAAGCAATAAGATGGAGCTTAGATGAGACTTTTGATGGGGAAGGAAAAGAAAGGGAATCTAAAACACAGGATCATTTGGGTAGATCCAAATGGGTGGTGTGATGGGTGCTTCAGTACTCAGTGCAGAGGGGAACCTCTTGTTTGACCTCTGCTCCACTTGTAGATTGTCCTCTTGCCCTATGTGTGGGCTAATACAATCTGAATCTGTAAAGTAGCATGGGTAAGCCCCCCTGTGGTGAGACTAAAGTCTGTAAGCCTGCCTAGAGGCCTTTTCCTAGCACAACATCTCCCCCTGTCGGACGCAGCCAGGAACTACATTCCTTCCAAACAGGAAGCCACAGGCAAAACTGACAGCTGGACACAGGGAGGCTTTCTTCACTTGGCATTCTCTTTGTGGGATGACTCAACAAATATGCAGTAACTAAGGAAGTATGTAAAAGGCCCTGACATTTAAATTTAAATAGTTTAAGAGCATAGTCTGCATGGTCTTAATGTTATTGATTTTACAAAAAAAAATCATGGGAGCTAGCTGCCTTGCTGAAGGCAATTTTTTTCTTTATCATCCCACTTTCACTAACAGAACACAGTAGAGGCCTTGGCACACATTCATTTCAGATGGGAAGAGATCAAACCCATGGATAATCAGGAGATATGAATGCCAGAGGCATACCAGGATCCTTATCCATAAGTGGTAGAGGGAAACTATCAAATCTTCCATTACCCAGCAGGAAGAAGGACGCATGACACCTGGTAGATTTTGGGTCAGTGAGGGAGAAGGAATGTGATTATCATTCAAGTGATATATTTGAGTTTTTCCCCTTACTCTTTTGACCATATTTGGTAGCTCATTGACAGTTGCATTCACTTCTGCCTCAGAAAAGCATGACACACAGGGTCTCAGACAGCCAAGAAAGGGAGACTTTGGTCATGACTCCATGGCCAATGCCAGCCTTGGGAGACGTGCTAGATAAAGGGTGAGGGAAATGGAGTGGGTAGCAGTTAAGAGATGCAACTGAAATAAAAACCCATGGTCATGTCACTGGATATAGAAAAGCATTTGGCAAGACTAAACACTAGTTCACAAGCACTCTCGGCAAAGTAGAAATAGAAGTTAATTTTTTAGGTTGATAAAGAGCTTAAAAAACTCTACATCTATTGTGATAATTAATGGTAGGGAACCTAAATGCCTTCCTGTTGAGATCAAAACAAGGCAGTAATGTTTACTTCCACCACTCCAATTTAATGTCATACTAGAAGTCCTAGCTGGTGTAATACAAGAGAAAGAAACAAATAACACATGGATTAAAAAGGATCTTTTGCAGAATTCATGGTTGTTTATGTAGCTTTTTGAAAAAGTCCTAAATAGTAAATAACAGTCACAAAAATATCCCTTGGACTAACGATTAATGATTTAGTTCATTCTTGCTGGTATAACAAAGTACTTTAGGCTGGTGTACTTTTAAACTGGTCTTTGGTTTTAATGTGTATGGGATTGGAGTTGCATTTGTGAGCAGCAGCCTTGTGGATTCTGAGAATTGAACCTGGGTCCTCTAAAGAGCAGACATCTCTCCTGTCCTGGTATGCATTATGTTCAAATAGTAGAAACCTTGTTACTTACAGCTGTGAAGGCTAAGAAATCCAAGGTCTAAGGACTGATTTTTGTCTCTGGTGAATCCTCAATGCTTCCAAGATGATTCCTTTGAACAAAAGGGCCAGACCATTTGGGGAGCACTAAAGTCATTCATGACAGCTCAGCCTATTACATTGAGTCTTAGGTACCAACATATTAGTTCTGGAGAGATACAGACATTCAGCACACAGTGGAAATTAGAGTAATTATAGAGTTAACAGGTAACAAAACATTTATTTCTTACTTACCAGCAATGAATAATGGGAATTTGATTTTAAAACAATGTTGTTTACTCTAAATTAGTCATATTTACAATACCCCAATATGGCTTATCAATACAGTTTGTGAATCATGAGTATATACTATGGATAGGTGGGCGAACACATAAATCAATGGAATGGGATAGAGTAACCGGTAAAAGGTTCACAGGAATATGTCCAGTTGACTTGATAAAGAAATTTGACTAAAGAAATTCAGAGGAAACTTTTCAGTAAATCACACTGGAGCATAAGTCCTCAAAGCCACGACAGAAGAAGAAGGGAGGGGGATCTTTTTCATTTAATTAATTTAAAATGTATCATTGATCTACATAAAAATTGTAAAATCATAAACCTTGTGAGAGAAAAAGGGAAAGGCATCAAGTCTAAGAGACAGCCAAACAATTCTTATGGAAAATGGAAGGCAGAAAGTTGCAAAAAAACAAAAACAAAAACAACCCCCCCAACAAACCAAACTTATGAAGGATGTTGTGAAGTTACAGCTTGACAGAAGATATTTTCAAGCCATTTATCCAAAGATTTTTATTGGGAATATTTTTAAAGTTCTCAGACTTCAGTTTTAAAAGTAGCCAAACATATGAGCAAACATTTTGCAAAGAAGATATGAAGATGGAACTCATCACCTAGGAAAATGTTAAACATCACTATCTTCAACACATGATATGTGCATATGTGCGCATGAAAAGCACAAGAAATTATCATCACACCACTATTAGGAACACTAAAATAAAGTATACTGGCAACAGTGTTCACAAGATGTCAGTGGCAATGGAGCTTGCCACTCAAGCCAGAGTCTGCATGATGGAAAAAGAGAACCGACTTTACGAAGTTGTTCTCCCATCTCCACACACCCCATGGTGTGTGCCTCCTCATAGTGATAATAATATGACAATATATAAAATGTCAAGTTTTACTCACGAGAAGGTAGAGACTAGATGTTGAGTACATTGCTAAGTGAAAGGGAAAAATGGCACAACCACACTGGAAAACTGACCCAATCAGTAGCTGGGAAGGTCCCAGGGTAGAAGCTGCCATGGCTATTTCCTAAACAATCTTGTGGTCAAAATTCCTTCTAAGTATTCATGTTTATGCCCCTAGACCTAGGTAGAAGCTTTTGTTTGTTTAAGTGGGTATTAATCAATGTAGAGACACATGCTTGGTCAACGTGTTGAGAATAAATGGAGTTCTCAGTCCTAAATGGGACATCTTTATCGACACCCCTATCAAGTTCTGGAGAGTAACGTAGAGATATGAGATTACATGTAATATTTTGGAGATTCTGTGGGACAGTTCCTAATGAAGTAACTCCATACTGGGTACTAAGCTTTTTGTTTGATAGATAATAGTGTTCGGGGGGGGGTAGCTCCCTTTAAACCACCTTTATAAACGTACACATATTATACAAAATCCGGGTGGATACAGAAAATGGGGTCTATTTCTTTGTTTCATATTTTTTTCAAGCAGCTAGTACAACTCAGACTCTTTAGATTCTACATAGAATAAAATGTATACCATAAAAGCATGCATCCTTTGGCATTGGCTCTCAATGGTTCCAAGTGTGTGGCTTTTGACTTGCACGTGAGGACTCTGACCAGCAGGAGGCGTAGAAGCTCTAGGGCGCTGGTGCAAGGGACGAGGGGGCGTGGCTTCTGCATCCTTGATGGACAGCTAAGGAAGGATTGCATGCGAGGATGAGGCAATAGCGGGCGGAATGAGGAGTGCTAAAGGCTGTGCGTGCGTGTGCGCGAGTGTGGGTGTTCCAGTGCGTGAGCGAGACAAGAGCTT